GACAGGTGCATGCAGCGGGTGCAAGGCCCTTGCTTTTCGGCAACAAGTGCGCCTTTGGTGGGCCAAGGGGTATGTACAGTTTTTTCCAAACTCGCCCCCCTCACAAGAATTCAAACTGAGGTACAATGTGGACAAAGGTGATCCCATTCAGGCGACCAAGCTGCTCTCAGCAAGCGGGGGTGGCGTCTTCAGCTTGTGCTTTGCTCCGAGGTGGATGTTGCTGCCGCCAAAGATGCAGCGGTACGAAACGAAGGAGATGATTCGCCTGCATCGACGCACCTCGCCGTGGCCCCACCGGCAAGCTGCGCAGTTTTCGAGGAGCTGCGATGGAAAGCTCCAAGCTCATGGACGCTGTGCAGTTTGCCTTGAACAGCGAGGCTCCTGAGCCCCTCAACCCTAATCTCTGCACCGTGCAAAAGAACGTGCCTTCAGGAGATGCTCGACAGTCAGGCGCTGGGAGAGGGCAAGACCGAGACAGTGTCATAGAGTCCGGCAGAGCGCTGTCACGGGGTTTCGCTGGAGTCTAAGAAGTCACGTGCTTTGGGGGGTGCTTGGACATAGACCTTGCTTGCCTTGCATTTAATCCCTCAGACGAGAGCAACGTGAGAGCCACAATGGCGCCTGTGCAGATGGAGCCCATCTCTCCGGACGGCAAACGAAGCTTGGGCCTCGGCACGAGGGGGACCTCGCTCTCTCGCTTCGCTTCTCGCTTTTCGCTTCCGAGGTGCCATCAGCTCGGCCATCGACAGCGTGAAGAGCTGGTTCGGTGGAGAGCGGGCCAAGGGCCAGGGAGTCCTCAGGCCCCCGCTTTTCCGAGCGCCCAGAGCGGGCACCCTTCTGCGCAGCCCCGCTCGCTCGGTCAGGCCCTCCTTGAAGGGAACGAAGGCCATGAAGCAGGCGTGGTGTGCCGGATGCCGGGGGGTTTAGGGAAGCTGCTAATGTTGGAGAGACAGATCCTGGCTGGCTCTTTAACTTGCATTTTCCGTGTGGTGAAGGCACGAAAAGAAGGCGACCCCAACGTGGACCTGCGTCCGGTTCAGGCGCGATGGGGGCGGAAGAAGAGTCCTCGGCTTGCTGTCTTTCCGAGCGCGCTCGTCTCCAGTCTCCATCCAAAGACGGCCGTAAAGTCGCAACTAAACAGACCGCCACATAAGTCGTTTTCTGAGCAAGTCCAGGCCTTTGCAAAGCTTATCACTTAGAGGAAGGTGAAGGAGAAGTCGCACGAGCTTTCCGTAGGAGAATCTGCGTGTGCGCTCTCCAGAACATGTCGTCAGCCGGCTGAAGGCCACTCCACTCTCCAAACGAGTGGGTGTGTGTTCTGGGTGCTGCTCCGCAACGTGTAAGCGAAATCTTGTTGCATGCGCCAAGAAGAGGTTCATAACAGGGAAAGTGCGCCTGCCGGAGTCCTCCACCCTGACAGCTTGAGCCGGCCGCTTGGGATGAAGTCCCCCAAGAGGCAAGGAGACACCCGAAACGACTCCAGGGCTTCAAGCAGAAACCTAACGCTTCCACCGCTGATGCTTTTCCTGACTCTTCCACAGCATAAACAACCTGCTCAAGCCCCTGAACAGGCTAAAGAACCCATTTGCTGGTGAAACCAAGGGCACGTTTCAGGGCACTTTAACCGTTCGCACATTGTGCGAATCAAGTTCAGGAGCTGCAAGATTCGGACTCGGCCCGGGGCCAAGTGGGCGCCGAGGGACTGAGCAAGAAGAGCTTTGGCAGCTGTCCCGCCAGGCCGTGACATGCATCTGCTTCGGCCAAGAGAGGCTGCACAAGGTGGGATCGAATTTCTTCAGGAAGAGTCTTTGAGCAGAGAGCACGGAGGCTTATGTTCTGCTGGCCACCGCC